GTGTATTAATAAATGGCAAATTTGACGATGACTCGTTCAAGGCATTAGGTGGAAAAGGAAAGATTAAGATACGATTAAGGAAAGTCGACTAAGAATGAGTGATGGCAAAAGCACATCTTCAAATCTTTGGCAGGTGACAAGCTCCACCGTTATCTTGAGGAGCACTCAAGTTGATCTCACGGCGCCGTCGCGCAACATCAACCGAGTTACTGTAAAAGATGGACGTCTTTGACATTCATGTGGGTTTTGTCAAAAGGATGAATAAATGCTATTTGACCAGCAGGGACTTAGTTCAAGACCGGTCAGTGTTATTCTTTTACTGTCACCGATCAATTATTGATGTTAACCACTGAATCGATGATGTTGCCATTAAAAGTTTGGCCCCTAACAAAAGAGATATAGAACGAGAACACGATATTTTAAATTGATTTCAATAAAAAAATTACGATTTTTGGAAATAAGCAAATTTCTTGCGGACAACTTTTTAAGAAATATAGATTTGAATGAGAAATCCCTTTGCATCAAAAAGAATAACCTTGATTTTCATCCTTGCTGCAATCAGTGTACATTAATACTTTCTTGTCCCACACCCCGCAAAACAGCCATTTTTGCGCTGATTCTGTACACACTATTATGTCACTTCACGCGTAACTTACGGGATTTTTCTTAGGTACACACCCGCGAGACCATCTCAAAACGAACGCAGCTCTTACAGAAATAAGGTGAGAGCGCAGCACCTGCCCCGATGCTCACTGACAAATCACGACATTCTCTATTACGAGGGATTGCTCGCTACAAGCCTCAAATTATTCGCAAAGACCCTCACTTCAAATCATCTGAACTGATCGAGCGTTACTGCGGGCCTTTGCAAAACTCTTTCTTTCTCACTGTATAGGACGGGGTTCCAGCTCAGTCTAGCACGTCCTTCTGTCCAGTCTTTCTTTCATCTAAATCAAAGACGTAGTACTGATGTGCTCTACAGAGCTGAAGGGAAGTGGCCGATTTTTGTGAAATTCGTATTGCTCGTAAGGCAAAGAATGAGACAGCATTCATGGCGAATCACAGGTGCGATAAGGTAAGAATGACTCCTCCAGGGTGAAGGGGGTCACAGTGGCCGCAACCCCTCCAGGGTGAAGGGTGTTTTACTTGGTAAAGAAATCATAAAATGTCGACGGGGGAGGGAGGGGGTAGCCATCCAGTCAAAGTTCATAATTTCCAATTCCTTACCATCACTGTTTGTCTTTTTTTCTGAAATGTGAAGTGATACGCTGCTGGATCAGCATGCAATTATATTTCTGACCAGCACCTTGTATCTTTTTACATTTCCTTTTCCCTTTTTTACATCGCCCTGCCTGTTTTTGGAATTACCATAGTTGATGTGCATGCGTTTTTAAGCATTTACGAGTTTTTTTCAAAGAAGAAATTTGTAATTTCTGTAGATGAACAGCAACGTCAGCAAGGTGAATGTTTTTGAAACCATCTTGTCTTCCGCTTTTAGAGAATATATAGTTTGCGTGGAGTCTATTGAAAAAGTGCCTGGTGAAGAGTGTGTAGTGATTTCTGGATATTTTCGAGTTTTTAGGATGGAAAAATCCGTAACTTCTGAAGATGAACATAATTTACGACGATATGGCTACCACTGAAATTGCCTCGTTTTCTGCTTCCAGAAAATATATACATTGCCTGGTGTCGTTCAAAAAAAGTGCCTGGGTGAAGGGTGTCCTAGTGATTTCTGAAGATTTTCGAGTTTTTAACATAAAAAAATTCATAACTTTTTTAGATTAACATCTTTCGCAGCGAAATCGTCACCATTAAAACCGCCTCGTTCTCCGCTTCCAGAAAATATACAGCATGTTTGGGATCCGTTTTAAAAAGTGCTTGGGTGAAGGGTGTGCTTAGTGATTTTTAAAGATACTTGATTTTTCATCATAAAAAATTCATAACTTTTTTAGATGAACATCTTGTACGCCGGATGGTCACCGCAGGAACCGTCTCGTCCTCTGCTTTCAGAAAATATATACTTTGCCTGGGGTCCGTTAAAAAAAGTGCCGGGTGAAGGGTGGGTGAGACTTTTATAATGGGAGTGCTCAAGTGCAGGCTTTTTTACCATTGTAAAAAGGCGTCTACTTGAGCACTCCCAGTATAAAAGTCTCACCCACCCTCACTCGGCACTTTTTTTAACGGACCCCAGGCAAAGTATATATTTTCTGAAAGCAGAGGACGAGACGGTTCCAGCGGTGACAATCCTGTCGTACAAGATGTTCATTTAAAAAAGTTATGAATTTTTTTATGATAAAAAATCGAGTATCTTCAAAAATCACCAAGCACACCCTTCACCCAGGCACTTTTTTGAAAGGATCTCAGACATGCTATATATTTTTTGAAAGCGGAGGACGAGGCGGTTCTGATGGTTACTATTTCCTTGCACCAGCTATTCATCTGCAGTAGTCACGGGTTTTTTTATCCTGAAAACTCGAAAATTCCCAGAAATCACTAGGCACATCTTTCACTAGACACTTTTTAAACGGATCTCAAACATGCTGTGTACTTTCTGAGAGCGGAGAACGAGGCGGTTCTAATGGTCACCATCTCGCCGTGAAAGATGTTCATCTACAAAAGTTATGAATTTTTTTATGTCAAAAACTCGAAAATCTCCAGAAATCGTTACTCACACCCGTCACCAAGCACTTTTTTCAACAGACTTCTTCTTTCCTATACATTGACAGTTCACGTACAAATATCTCCTTTGCTTAACCTTACTTCACTGTTGATTTTTTCTCGGCTTTTGGTGAAGGAGGTCACCTTGGTCCCGGCTCAGGGGTGAAGAGGGGGTGAGAAAAGTCTCACACTATCGCACCTGTGTGGCGAGCTGTTTCCGATGTGTCTTGTTTACCGCTATAATCGTCGCCGATGGCAACAGAGAATTGCTAACATTATGAAAATAGCCAGAAACCAAGCATCTGACTTTATTTGATCTTAGCTAGGCCTACGCTGAGATTGGGGGCCGCTCACTTATTCGTTTGGGAGACCCTTCAAGTAAACCTCGTTCGTAGTTCGGCGTTTACTGTCATCTCCAAAATCATGTAAAAACGGCAAACCCATTTATTGTAAAGGCTAAGTTTGAGTTTTTACCAATAAATAGTCTGTTTAGTTTCGAAATAGTGGTTCAATAGGATCTGTAGAATTGTAATACTGAGCTTGGATCTAGGGTTTTTCAATTTTTGTTCAAAGAAAAAGTAAGGTTTTTTATGCATTGAGATGTTTATCCGACTTTTTGAGTGAATGTATGGTCTACAGCCAGGGCCCGGCGGGTGTGGCGCTTTCACAAGCTGGATATCGTTTTTGGCCCGAAAAAGCAAAGGAGAAGGAATGCCTCTCCTTTGGGAGAGGGACTCCGCCCCGGACCCCAAAATACGATCCCCTTTGTTTACCGATAAACAATGCACATATCATTCTTTATTCATCATTCCTTGTTGATGCTACTGCCCTATGAACTTAGATTCCAGCAATGTGAAGATTCTGTGCTCGATCGCTAGCCTGCCGGCAGGCGGGAATTCAAATCGCAATTCTTGAAAGAGGAAAATAACAAAATAGGCTCGTTTTCAATGCACAAGTAACGATATGACACCAAATTTGCTGTATAGTTGGAGGACCATGAGCACAAAAAAAGTATGAAAAATTATGAAAAACTTATGTGAATTAAAAAAATGGTAAGTGTTTTTCGAAATTAGGTGGCTCCCGCGCCACCTGGGAGCCACCTGGGGTGGCTCCCTGCTTTCCTTCACATAATTTCCCGGATTTCTTTACATAAATGTAGCCTAGGTCGAGAGCATTACTACATGTTCAAATCCGCTTCCAAAACCACCAAGGCACCGCTTCGATACAGGCCCAAATAGGGGGCCACGCGTCATGACTCACACCGCGCACGATCGCCGCCCCGCCGCGCATGTTTTTGCCAAAACAAACGGACGAGTTTTGCGGTGCGCGCGCTTTTGCTAAACAATTTTTAAACGTTGATGCGTCCAGTTTGTGATGTTTTGTGACTATCCTCCTTTCTTTTCTTGCCTTGTTTTCGTATTGCATGGTACATGGGAATAACTCTGAATACCTTCTTATCAGTATGCTTTTCTGACTTCCTCACAAATCATTTGGTATAAATATTTTTTCGCTGAGCTCTTCTTTATCAGGGAGGTGAAGGTCGAGTTATGTGACGATTGCGCTGCTTTGAAAAAATCTACCATGGTCGTTTCAAATTCCTGCACAATTGCGCAGGGCCCGGTCTTCGCTCTGGAACATTGCCAAGAAGAGTGATGAAATTTTTTGATGAAGTGAATTCTTTTGTGAAGTAAAGGAAGTGCTCGTTTTTAGTTCGTCAAGTTATCATTTTCGTTTCAGGCTGATGGGCGACGATCTTTGCTTAATTGGGATTTACTCGACGCTTCAGAAGTACTCATCCAGCCAGCAGCACTGGGGAAACGACCGTAAGCCGTAAGTCTTGTGCACGTATGTTCCAAAACGATGCCAAATCTCCTTGTGCAGGACGGGCTAGTGAACACCTCACTAAACTATACACTTTAAACTCGGAAAACTTCTAGAATGACTCCACAAGGTCAGCATTATTTTCTTTTCTGCACTTCTTTTATGTACTATGTATATTTCATCCCTCTCTGCTTTTTCACTCGTTCCCTCCAAAGCCCAAATACTTTGCGCAGGTACTTGGTAGAGTATCACGTGCGCAATATAATCCAAAACACATTGGAAAGAATTAGCTGGTGGTGCATGTTTTCGCATTGAGAATTTGGAGGAATAGTTCATAAAATATTGTTTTGTATAGTGGTGATACTAGTTTCAAGCCCAACCCCTTCCCCTCCCTGTTCCCACCCTTTTCCAAAGAAAGTTTTGCTTAGCATTTATCACTGATAAATAAAACAACACACTTTCTGTTGGTGTCAGGTTTTCCGCCACAGCTTCATCATCGCTTTACGAGCCATTGTACGCTAATGGTGGCTATAACGACGGCGGAAAGCTGCGAAGGAGAAAACCTCGGAATGAGCGCTTTCGAAAGGCGTACGTTCCAAGCACAATTAGCTCTGTCACGGAGAGGTTAATTTCTAAGATGTTTTCTTTTTCTTAAAATATTGAGGACAGGAAATTTCTTCTAAGATTTTGCTTGGAAAGCGCGAAATGATCGTTACTATTGTAGTGATTGAATCGGATAACTTACACTGCTACACTCTCTCACCTACGACGAGCAAATTCGTCTATCGGAAGAGAGGGAAAACTGGCGAAGCCTCGTCAATCACACAACACCCTAGGGGGGATGGTATGCAAGTGATCAACGTTAGCATCCGGATGATTCACCCTGATTGTTTTAGTTTTGCTCTGCTGAAACTCCCAAAGGTCAAGCTATGGGTCTGGCGAAAAGTTTGCCGGTGATGGCGTACATTTCTGTCGGCTCACTTCCGGAACCCATCTTGGAGTTTTTGGAAGAATGGTCCATGGAAAACTAGAGGGTTTGCATCTTTTCATAGTATAGATTTGCTGCGTAACACGTTTAATTTCAGAAGTGCACCATCATCTATTGCTGACGCCACTTAGATCTTCGTAAATGGAGCTTGGGTGGGCATTCACAGAGATCCCGAGCATCTTATGATCACACTGGGAAAGCTTCGCAGACAGATGGGTATCATTGTGTCTGAAGTCAGTTAAGATACAATTTTTCTGTGATTTCTGTCTAATGTTTGGAGTGTAGGTGTCTATGGTGCAAGATATCCCCGTCGCGAAATTCGAATCTACATCGACGCTCGCGTAGATCGACCTCCTTTTATTGTCGAAAAGCAGAAGTTCGCATTGAAAAAACGACACATAGATAAGCTCAAGGTTCTTATCCCTAATTTCTTTTTTAAAATGTCTGGTTCTTACAAAAAAGTATTTCCAGGAGCGCGAATCTGACAGTAATTACAGTTGGTCGGACCTTATGGGAAGCGGTGTGGTAGAGCTTATTGGCACTATGGAAGAAGGTAAGTGTTAGCGTCTTTGTCTCGATTATATAGAAGAAAAATCTATTTCAGAAAGGTCATGTTGGTCATGATCTCTGGAGATCTAAAAGCAGGCGTTTGCTGTGACACATATACCCACTGCGAGATTCATCCAGCAATGATACTTGGAGTCTGCGCCTCCATCATCCCATTTCCGGATCATAATCAAAGTCCGAGAAATACGTACCAAGTAAGTACCAGGCATCAGGTTTCCTGTTCCTCCTATAAATTATCACAAGTAAACCACTACATTTCAGGGTGCTATGGGTAAGCTAGCTTTGGGTGTTTATACTACAAATTTCCATGTTCGAATGGACACGCTTGCACATGTCTTGATTACCCGCAAAAACCTCTGGTTACCACAAAATCAATGGAATATGTGAGGTTAGAACGTCGAAGGAGATGTTCTTAATGTATTTGAACGCTTGCTTGACTATTCAATGAACTTCCTGCTGGCATCAATGCTATTGTCGCTATTCTTTCGTATAGTGGCTACAACCAAGAGGATTCCGTTATCATGAATCAATCAGCCATTGACAGAGGCTTTTTAGATCGGTTCGTTCAACGTTATCCCCTGACGACAATTGTAAAACTATTGCTCAAGTGGTTTATCGTTCTTACTGTGACCAAGAAGCCAACTTGGACGGTGCTAACGAGGAGTTTATCAAAAGCCAACGAGAGATAAGTGCTCAGTAATGAGACACTCACTTTAGGATAAGGTAGCTGTTAACTCAAGGTTAGATCCGGCATAAATGAGCAAGATTAGTTGGACGATGACGGAATCATTTTATCTGGAATGCGCGTGCCTGGATATTATGTGATTATTGGAAAGACAGTCGCGCCTCCTGAAGTTGTACGTCTTAAATCGTTCAGTGCAGGCGTTTACAGTCAAAATGTTTACAGCCAGTCCCTTCATGGGCGTCATACTCTCTCTTTGGTACTATTCCCGACTGGTACTCAATAACATCAGCAGCATCATAAAAGCACTAAGGAAGATTCAAACGCATCCGCGGACATTTGTAAGTCATTTTTTCGCCTTACAAGTTTTGCAGCGTTTATTCGAATCAGTTTTTCTGTTAGATAGATTGAGCATTTCTCATTTTGCCCGTAAAAAGGACATTTGACGTTGTGATTGGGATATATGACGCTTACGCTTATGCACCTCACCACCCATGAGGTCCACTTGCAGAAAGTGCGATTAGCTCACAAGGGAAGGATACTTGGTCGAAGTGGCGTTTCCATATGAAATGCATACTATTTTATAGAGCATGCAACGCTGATTCCGAATCTGTCTTCGTTATCTGCCGAGCGCCTCTGGACGCCGAGTTATGAGCATTCCTTTGGTTGAAAAATTTAATGCGTAATTAGAGCAGAATTCGTCAGAATTGCTGAAATGGTCCGAAGTTGGTTATCAGAGCACTCCATTACAAAGGATACCTTCTGTCCAAAACACTCATACTACATGTTGCTCTATTTAGGCGCTGAAAAGTCCGTAATAGTTAATTTTACTTGAATTCTGAGTTCATTTTTCGCTCCAAAAAAATTTTATAACTCGACGTCCAGAAGCGCGATAATGAAGGCAGATTCGGAATCAGCGTTCAACGCTCTTCAAAATGGTATATGACCCATTTGGAAAGGCCACTTCGACTGATTCGACCTCCCTTGTCAGCTCCTCTTTGATTGATCTCATTTTTGCAATGCCATCGTCCATTGATTTTGTTACTCTATACAAACCGTTGAGAATCGATGTTCAGTTCAATTTCTTGCTATAGAGATGTATTTGTGAAAGAAATCGATTTTTACGACCTCGCAACTCGTCCTTTAAGCTGAAAATCTCAATTAAGTTTCTTGACGAAGAGATCTCAGGTAGCAGTTCATAAAAACCAAGTGAAGAACATGTTGCTAGGAGTCTTTACTCTAATGAAAGGCTGATGATGTTATCCGTACTTTTTTTTCGCGACATGTGTCAGGAAATTCTGGAAGTAAAATTTGAAATTTGCGAAACAGAATAACAGATGATGAGACATTGGTGCCAGGTAGATGTACACGCGCTCACCTGGTGGTTTTGTGGATGTTTATCTTTTTTTTATAGATTCAACATGATAAGAAATCAGCACTGCAGAAAACTCTTAGCAAGATTTTGGAACTATGCTCTGCGGCAGTCAGAACACCAGTGTTCGTCATGGCCAAAATCGGAATTCTCAGGAAAAGTCGTGCACTTTCTTCTCCGAATGAGTTGTAGGTGTTTTGTACTCAACAATTATGAATGATCAAGGGGTACCTCATGTGGTGCGCAAAAGATTGCGAGAAAATCTTGTAAACTAGCCATTTTCTGATTAAGAGTTTAAAAATAAGTGTTCTGAGTGTGTTTTATTTGCATTCAAAAACGGTTCCAGATGATGCGACCCTACTTCGCCATATAAGCATCTTTTTGACTATGGAAGGCGACTGGAGATTAGACCTGCGTTCTTTGAGTCTGTTCCTGTCTGTGCAGAAGGATCGCCGTGACTTCGACGTCAGAAGGATGCTTCAGCAGGTACTGTCAAATGCTTTGTACTAATTTTATCTGTCATTAACGTCTCTTTTTGTATCAGGAATTACAATGTTTTAAAAAAATAGTGGTCATACATGCTGTGCATTGTAGAGCGATTCTCGATGGAATCAATGGTTTTACTATACATAAACCCACCAATTTTTCGTCTAAATACAAAGTGGGTCTTGGGCGGACTAATCACCTCTCAACCATGAAAACATCCATTCCGGCTAGTCAGCTCAAGCTGCCTTATGGAGCCCGCATGATACTCGGCAAAACACTTACAGAGATGAGTAATGAACGAAGAGGAGCGCTCCGATTCACGTGTGGTGAAAAAGAAATACTATTTGCTTTGATTTTATATGGTTTTAATTAAGCTTTCTTGATTCATGTTGTACGCAGGTTGTAACTATAAGTTCAGATATAGCAATAGCTCTCCTCCCTTCTCTGTTTCCGCTGTCTGCAATAATGAAATACCTAAGGTTCGAGGGCAAGAGAGTAGTCTTTTTGAGAGGTAGGTTTGAAGATTTTGTTGTGCTGTTGTACTGAAAATTTCTAAACCAATGGTTTTCTAGTTTCAGTCATAGTTAGGTCGTCCTCAGGCTATGCAGCTGGAGTGATGACGAGCACATGAGAGATAGACTGCTACGGTATGGACTCTTACGATGAGATATCCGAACCTACGAAAAACTGTTACGATATGTCTCAGCATAGCAGCAGAACGAGAGTAGATATAGCTGACTGCACGAATCGCCCGGACTGAACGCCCGCGCGCGTGTCATGTCGTGTCATGGCTAACATTGACATTCACACGCATGAGTCATCATAGTGACCGTACTCGGAAGCGGCGGCGCAGGCACTCTCGCGTGCGTTCAGCCTACGGCGACCCGGGCGTTTTCGTGCGGTCGAGTGTAGTAGTGGTAGCCATCTGTTTCAGTTCTTTTTTTTTTGATTTAGTACTTGACTTTGATAATTTGTACTAATCTTTTCATTACGCACTTATATTAGGGTTTTTGTGTGCAAGTTACTGTCACTGACCCTGGTGCAATTGTGACTGTAGTATGTTCCACTTTTAATAGTGGGTTTTTTATTGTGAATGTTCGGAACAACATGATTGTGAATTTTGTGAAATCTATAAAACTCGAAGTGCTGTTTCGTGTGTAACTATTTCTCGGACAGATACCTAATTTGAGACCTACTTCGCCTAGAAAGCGAAATAAACTGTTTGTCCAATCCTTCGCATAGTCTCAAATAGCACGAATGCTATACTTATGGATTACTTATGAAAGAAGATTTAGTGTTTTTCCATCTATATCAAAGTCTGTTGTGCTAAGATGCTGTTTGTGAAGCGCTACTGATTTTGAATCTATTGAGAGGATTTCTTGCCTGAAGACAAGAAGCGACCAATAATTTAATGCTATTTTGTGCGGTAATGTAAGTGTAATATGGGAACAATGCAAATCAACCTTTAATAACTAGCAGAAGTTGCGAAAATTGAGTCGTCGGGTGAATATGAGCGTTTCTAATGCTTTGTATAAATCACATACAAACAGAGAATTACTACACATGTATATAGAAATCAGTGAAACTGCAAAAACGCGGACCGAAATTCAGCAGACCTCCTCCCTCGCGCACATACTTAATCTCACTTCTAAAACAGAGTATAGCGGTCCGATGCAAAGGGTCATTTGATCATAAACAACATGAGTCGCACCTTGGATTAGAGGTCCGACAATATTTCTGCGCGTGGTAGGTCTGCATGGACAGCAACAATTCTGTGAATAAGCGATGCCGCAAGATTCACCTGCAAATAGAAATGTAGTGAAGGAGCTTTCCAAATAAGCAACTACCTCGCAAATTGTTCCTGAGCATCCTCCTTATGGCCGCATGAAAACTGGAGAAATCTTCTTGTCCTAGTTTGTCGTATCGATAGATATCGCAGGAGCGCAGGAGGTAGCAAAACAGAGTGACAGTATCACTAAAAGAACACTATGTTGACAAATGAAATCTGACTAGAATTTTCCACTTAGACATTGTTATGAAAGGCATAGCCACTGTTGCATTATGTGACGCTACAGCGGTACCTGATGCATTTCATTAGGCAGCCAACAGTGCCACTTGTACATTAATAAAGCGAAAAAATGTCAAATATTAGGTTGTCCCATAAGTTTTTTCATATTCGGACCTTCAATTCGATTTTTCTCAGGAACTACAGCACCTAGTAGGCTGCAAATTTTTGGCAGTAATTCTGAGCGAATAAGCTATATAATCACCTACTTGCGGGGAATACAGAAGTGATACAGGCAAAGTTTGAAAATTGAGCGCATTAATTTTTTCTTGGTTTCTAGCCATCAGAAAAATGCAGCAAGTGCATTTATAAATATCCGATGAGAAGAGTATATGCACGAAAAAATAGAATATTTGCAGAGCTGTTTTGAACTGAGATATGATGATTTTCGTTTTTTCGGAAATTGGGAAAATTTTTTATTTTGGTTTAGAGCATGCTGCGGATTGGACTTGGTGCGAACTTTTGAACGCCATCTTGTAGAGCTTACTTTGATCTGTCGAATGGTACCCTGCAATTTATCAGGAGTTCAAGAAGAACTGATTTATGTCGTTGAAATGTCAGGTATGAAAAGACTTATGGGACAACCTAATAACATGTTAAGATAAGATTATCGAAAACATACGAAGAAACGGTAGATCGAAATGCAATCATGATACCTTCCCCAGTACTTCCGCGTAGTCTGGTGATAGAGACAACCAAAACTGCCATCAAAGTCTAAACAGCAAAGATATTCCAAAGCCAAAACTTACGCAAGAGCAATAACACAATCAAAGGAGTGAAAACTTTTAACTGGCAGTATCAGCTAGCGATCATGACAAAGTAAACTATCATACTTCTCTTCTGTCGCTCCTCTCGTCTTCCTCACTCTCTCTCTCTTCTTCTCTTCTTTGCGAAACGGGTCATGACTCACAGTCTGCGCGAAAGTTTCGTCGCGAAGCGATGAATACAGAATGGAATATTTCATCGCTTTCTGCAAAACCGCCGTGCGCGGTGTGAGTCATGACGCGTGGCCGGCTATTCGTGGCTAATCTCCACGACAGACATGCTCTAATCACGTCAGCGATGAGCCCTTTAATAGGAATTCACTCGTACTGGTTGGCGTCGCGTTGCGACGTCGCTTCGGGGTTTTGCCGCGCAGACTGTGAGTCATGACCCGTTCCCCCAAATAGGGTTCACAGCGTTATGATCGGCCTCGGAAAGCGCGCTCCAATCGAAATCGGTGCACCTTGCACGGACGACGCGGAAACTTCGAGAATTTGACTTCTTGCTAGGCTAATGATCGCTAAATGAAGCAGTTTTCCCTAATTCAAACCATTGTTTCTTCGAGTCATGCTTGCATGGGCTCGCAATGAAGGAGCGGTCACATTTGGCTGTGATGTTTTGTGCAAAAAGTTGTTCCACAAGAGAATTTCAGCAGTTCCGTCGGTTTTCCGGATTTTTGTGTTCTGTTCCGTCGCGTGTTCGTTTTCTTCCTTGTTTTCTTCTTGTTCCTCTATGCTCGTTGTTGCAGCTACGTCGATGTCATCGGAAGTGTGTAGAAAGTTTTTGACAAGATCGGATAGAATCAAATCGGTGGACCTCCATCCCACTGAACCGTGTTCATCTGCTGCTCTATACTGGAGACGTTCAGATATGGAATTTTGAAAGCCAAGAACTTGTGAAGTCTTTGAAAGTAGGTTCCTTTCTTCATTTTCATTTTTAAGTGTTTTTGTATGTTAGACCCCGGCCAGACCTCGCTCAAAATTGCGCACTCATGAAGAAGTTCCTATTTGGCAAATAGTTAGTTGAGCGTTGACTGGTATTTTTGAGATGGAAAGCGGGGTTTGTCGGTTTTGAGCGGTTTTGGGAGATTTGATCGAAGTCTGGCTGGGGCCTTATGGTGCTCACTTTATTTAAGCCCAGTGTCTGAATGGGGTCATAAACTTGCGCAATTTTTAGGTTTGCGATTCACCAGTGCGTGCCGTCAAGTTTTTTTCAAGTAAAACTTGGATTGTGACCGGGTCAGATGACATGCACGTCAAAATCTACGACTACACCACATCGCTCCTAGTTCACCAGTTTCGGGCTCACTCAGACTACCTCAGGTGGGTGAACTTGATTTATGCCAGTATGGTTCGTTTTTTTGCATTTTTGAATTTCTGGTTTTTATGTTTTCTTTCTTTTTTTGCCTCTACTGGGTTGTTACTAAAGAGGGGGCGGTGAGATTGCGGCCTTTGCTCACCATTAAGGTTTCTCAATTTTATTTTTCGAGTGAGACGCGTTTCTTTTCTCCAACGAGATGCTATTCATCTGAAACAATTTTGTGAAGTGTTGTTCTACTTTGGGCTTTGTTTGAGCAAGGGCCGCACAATACGAGGGAAGTTCGCGACAAGCTCAGCCCTAAATTAACACGTTTCGGACCGCGAAATCGCGCGCGGCGAAAAAGAGTGTATTTTAAGCCGTCAGCCAATAAAGGGGCCTTATTTTTAGACTGTATGCTACACCTGTAATCAGCATGTCAGACAAGCTCCATACCCAAAGTTCTGGGTGAATTTAAATTGTTTGAATTATGTCGTTTGAGAGAGACTTCCGTGCTTTCTTGAAAGATAGGAACAAGAACTCCGTCTCTAATAGTATTCAAAAGTTTCTATGTTCCACACGGTACACATCAATATTGAGACGATGGTTTTTCTGCTTGAAATCGAAGCAAGGAAAAGTTGCTATCTCCTAAACAAATATCGGCGGCACAGCTCCATAGAGTCATTTGAAAAGTAGGAGCTTAGACTTTTGACTTGATAACTTTGGACTAAAAGAAAAGCTCTTGTGAACGTCGAAAAGATCCTTCAAAGTCGCGTGCTGCACCATGTGCAGCACCGGTCCGAAACGTGTTAACGCTCTTTCTCGCTCATTGGTTCCCCACTCCACTGTTTTTGTGTTTTATATGTTCCATGTTTCTGTCATCATCCTGGTGCATTTTTCAGTGTTCAGTGTTTGTTCGTAGAAAATCGAAGAATAAGGTTTTGCTTTATATGTGTGTCTTCTCTATACTTTTTCGTGCATCTGCATAGTTGTTGCAGTGCAAAAATCATCACCTTACAAGTGCAGTTGTTTTAAGTGGCTAATGATATGTCATATCTCGCTCATTTCACCCCCGTCTTGATGAGGGTAATTTTCCGGATGGAATTTTTCATCTCTCCTCTAAATCTTGCTTCTTAGGCATCCGCCATACTTCATCCTCTTGATGCGCTATTTATTTATGCGCTCCTATTCATTTGTGTATATTGTCTGTCACGGAATTAGGGGGGGGGGGGGGTCAAAAATAGGGTCAAAGGGGAAGTCGTAAGAAAATTGGCTTCAAAGGGGATATCGTTTTCAAATTTCTGAAATGCCACCTCCTGCCGGGCCTTGTCTACAGCTGCTTAAAAAGTGTAGAATACTTCTTTACAACACATGCTGCCAAATATTTTATGCATGAAACATTCACGCAAATAATCATGGGAGGTCAGGAGACATTGCATGAAATTTTGAAAAAAGAACGTTTGCAGCATAAACAATCATCAAAAGAGGAAGATTTGGAAAATCATATGAAATATATTTTGAAGACTAAGTAGCCATGAGCACTGTCTCCACGTGTATCGCGTATTGCCCTTTACTTCTTGGGGCAGCCCGGCTTTCCGATTCCGAAAGGATATAAAGAGGGAATTATCGTCTTTCCATTGCTGTCCTTTACATTCTTCCAGCAATAAACACATTCAGTGTCACATTTGCAAAGAGCCGCTGCGCAACCGTTGTTCGTGCCTAAAGAAAGGATACCAGACGCCAAGCTAGATTATATCAACTGATACAACAAAAATGTAAATGCAGATTTATGTAGTGGAGATTGTGCTGAACGGGGTCGCCCCACTTATCTCTTTTTGTTCTTATCATCTCGTTCTGAGTTAGTTAGTTCCGCGAAACAAAATTCTTTAGCGCTCGGTGACGGGAGTTGAGAGCAGTTGTTGCTGCATCAAATGACACATCAGTCTAGGATTGAGGTGAAGAAGGAATGCAACCGAATAGTTGTAACTCTTAGAGTCATTTTAGTTTTTCACGTCACCCCACCTAATACTTTTAACATTTGATGAGCTAACAAATCTTGACAAGCAAAACCACTCAATCCGCTTTGTGCGACCGGTTCAACATTTTTGGAAGCACAAGGAGCTATGAGCTTATAATATCTTCCAGCTTCTTTTTCCTATTCCTCCTTGTCACGCCTTGGGTAACTTATAGGCAGCGGCGGCAGAATGACAACTTTGGAATATTTGTTGTTCTCGGCTCCCCTGGATGAGCTAATTCCAAGACTGTGCTTTGCAGCTTCAAATTATAGCAATAACCCTGTTTTCCAGACGTGAAAACTGCTATATTGGCGGACGGCGCTATATAGCAGTTTGTAGTAGCATAAGCCCTCTAGAGCGCTAGCCAATAGCGCTCTAGAGGGCTTATGCCTGCCCTCTAGAGCGTTATTGGCTCACGAGTGGAGATGCCGTGCCCATCCCGGCGGCAATTGGATTGTTGGCTGCACCAGCCATTTTCGCGGCCCGCCCAAACAGCACTTTTAACGTCTGGAAAAGCGGGTTATTGGTATCTCTTGGCTACAAAGCATAGTCTTGGACTTAGCTCATTCAGGGTAAGCCAAGAACGATGAGTATCCCAATTGCCATTCTGCCGAGCCGCTGTCTTTGAGTGGGAGAAGTGCGATAATCAGAGCACGGCGGCGTATTTCTCGAAAAGAAAAATCTGAGAATGCGCGCAGTTAGCTCGATATCACTCACGTCTACATATGGCCTGCCCATTGACACAGTCCCAGCCGTACAGCCGGAAGTACTGCGTGATTTTGCCGCATGCACCGCTTTTCACAGCCTTAGTGTAGCATTCGTCATGTGTTTTACAGCACCTAGAAGTGATCTTTTATGAATATGACTGCGAATTTGGGACTGGTAGTTTTACTTACGCATCAATGGCATCGATTGGTACACCGAACCGCCTGGGCCGCAGTAGCATCCGTAGTGGTTGTATCTCTAAAATCACGAAATTTTTGAGCAGAATATCGTCAAGATGGTGAAACTTACCAGGGCCCAACGCCCTATCACGCAATTGGACACGAAATTGAAATTAATCAGCCCTAGATGCGTAGGAGCATGATGATCTTGTGGCACAACTGCGTAGACCAACGAGAGCAGAACTAGAACGATGTACATGTTCTATGACAGTAAAGTGAAGAGCAAAGTGATACACTCCTTATATATTGGGCGATGAAAACAAGTACTTGACGTCTCATTAGTCACTCTTTATGGTAAGCGGATTTGAAGGGATTTCGCGGTTGTCGCAGAAGAAATCTTCTTTTATGTTCCTCACTGAAGTCAGACCATCTGTAGTGCTGCCTTCGATAATCTTTTGTGCTGAGGAATAATCATGTTTTAGGGGATGACTAAGCACGAATGAGTGGGACCCATGTCTTCCAACCTTCCATGCAAAATTAGACCTCGGGCAGAGTTTAAGCGATTTGATCGCCTCGCGATTCTCTAAACAAGACAACAGTTACGAGTCCATTGCATGCCAATCATTTTACATCTCAGTTGTGATAGCTATTCATGATTAGTTGTGTAAGAAAACTATCACAACCGAAATGCAAGACGGTCGGCATGTAATGGACTCGTAACCGTTGCTCTGTTGGAGAATCGCGAGGCGATGAAACCGCTGAAAATTCCGCCCGAGGCCTTACACAATTGACTCCTTTTTCTTTCATGGAGAAACAGTTAATGAACCTCATTCTCTTTCATCAGTTAAGTTTGTAGATTTTCATTCTCTGCAAGGACCGGCATTGACAATGTGTCATATAGCTAGAAGAAAGCTGTGTTTCTGCAAACCTTCAATGCTATTATGATTGGTGCAGCAATGATCTTTTTATGAATATTATGCCCTTACTCTGGAAATCCAAAAACGGTG